AACAGGAACCACATCTTGCGCCCTGTTGTCCGATCCTGAGTGCATCTCCTAAACTCAGGGACGGTTTCTCGGTCTTTGAGTTCCAGGGATACGGACCTCCGTTTCAAGCTCAATCTGGTCGCAAGCTAGACATTCCACGAATTATTCGGCTAGCCATGACATCTCGAGCAGGGTTAGGTCATGGGCGAACTTTGGAATAACGGTGTTGTGATTTACTTTTGAGCCAGCAGGAACATATTCTGAGTCTAGTGGACCAGAGTAGCGTAAAGTCATAATGCATGGTTTCCGTTCCCGTAGCGATGTTGAGCCTTGGCTGGGAATGCCAGAGCCGGAAAATTAGATCAGAGTTGTGCTAAGCTGCTAAACTTTACCTTGAACACAACTGCTAGCGGCTAGTTACTAGCGTTGTCAGGGAGGAGGGAAACACAATGAGTTCAACCCCAACTAACCCAAGGTGCAAACATGTTGAACCCGATGTGCAGCTTTTCGGCTTACATGCGGCCGCTGCCTCTTGCGGCGGCATCGGGGGGCTCGGGAGGTCTTCTGGGATTTGCAGTTCAGGTCTTGAGGGATTTGAGTTCCAGTGAGTGGGGGTTCCGGAGCATAATCCCTTTTGGCTACCTCTTGGAATTGGGTTTGGGCCCTCTGACTTGGGTCTGGGGCCTTCATCCTCTCGGGGTTGTGCCTGTTTCCTTTTCTTGAATTTTTCTGGATTTTCCGGTGCCCCGCACTTCGCAGTATTGATCGGGCTGCCCGCCATCGTAGCGAGATTCAGGCTGTGCGGGCTTTGCTGGAGAGTCTCGAGGATCGTTTGAGTGCCTTTGAAGCCGGTGGTGGATTCCCCCCCGCATGCCAGCATTCGAGCCTTACAGCAGCAGCCCTCCGAGGTTCTGCGGCGATGATCTGTTTGGATGCCGTGGGGCCTTGCCCTGGGCTTGGCGAGCGCGGCTCTTCTCTGCACTTCGGAAGCTGACTTCAGGGCCCCTGAAACCCCGCTGCTAGTGTGCAGTGACGCATTCTCCCGGAGCTGCTGCGAGTATCCCGGATCATGTGTCCATCGAGCTGTGCAGGCACGGGCTTCAAAAAGGCTTATGGAACCGATTGTTGGGGGCGCTGCCTAGCTATCGTCGCGAATGCGGAGAATTGCACCCATCCGTCTATGCGGGGCTTCCGGGCGAGAACTATGATCCAGCTCGGCCCGGTCGCATTGGCGCCCAAGCGGAGTCACATCAACGTGGGAGAGCTCAGGTCAGCACTGCGCACCGAAGCCTGCGTTGGGAGAGCATGAAGGGAGCCGCTACCTTCATATCCTTGCCAGCCAGGTTGCGGCCGCTTGTGGCCAAAGTGCGAGCCCCAACATGACATACGAGCTACGTAGGAGCGTGGCTGCCCATCTCGCATGGTGCCGCGATATGAGTTTACAAGGTCTGCCTACAATCCTTCTGACGACCCTACCCGGTCTGTGCCACTTCGGGGTCCTAGCTGTGAACTCCCTCGTTGGTGGGCTTCTGCGGTGAGTGGGAGCGACTTAAGCGAGCTTAATGCTTGGCTGAGTGGTCGGGGGAACTCCCTGCCGAGGAGGAGCTGCTCCCTGATGCCCCGATAGCTCTTCCTGAGCCTGATCCGCAACGCCTGAGTCGGCGGTGCAAGGATCCTGAAAACGTTGCTCGAGGCCTCCTCGATGGACCTGCCTGTTGTGCGATTTTCCGAAGGCTGCCTACCGAAGTTGTGAGCAGAAGCGCGATTGAAAGGTGCAGGGGCACGACTTTTCGCATCGGGGCTTATGTGCCTCACTGGAGTTCGGAAAACCACCTGCGAGCTTTCATTTTCTTGCCGGGCACTTACCTCTCTTGTCACCTTTGTTACCCAGGTCGCGCCGATGCCCGCTTCACAACGACTATCATCCTAGGCAATCGCAAAGCTTTGCCCCATTTTGATGTGCATAACCTTCGAGATGAGCCGAACCTACTGGACCTACTCATTGCTCTCAGCGTGTTCCGAGGGCGACAGGTGTGGGTCGAAAGAGTCGGTCGGAAATCTGAGAGACTCGACGGGGAAGTTGAGTACCTTGAATCTCTAGGATTTCGTTTGCCGCAGGCGACCGGCGCTGAAGTCGGTGACTCTGAACAGGCCCAGGAACTTTCCGAGCTTCGTCCTGCGCCGTTCCCCATGGATTGAGCTGTCGAGGACCGCGATGCTGCCTACTTCCTTGCAACATCCGCCGATGCATCAGCCCGCTCCTTCCACTGGTGGACTGTCTGCCGATCCCGTGTCAACTTGTGGATTTACTCCTCAAATTTCCCCCCGCACAATTCGTCCATTCAGCAGGACAACCACCGCAAACCGGTCCAGCACTGAAACCCCTGAATGCACCAGCAGACAGCAGATAAACGATCTCCCGTTGGACCTCGAACTGCAAAAGGTCCTCGTCGGCTCCGTGGGTGATGCGGTAGCAGAGGATCCACCACATGGTGTTGCGCGGGCAATTTCCCTAGCAATAGCAAGCCCCCGAGACCCTGGGAACAAATCAAGCCACCCTGGCCCGGAAAGGAGAGCAGAGCGAAGATCAGGGAAGACGGCAGACTCCGAGCTCACTCAGCAAGCCAGGTCTGACTCCTGATCAGCGGGTCAAGGTGCAGAAGGGAAATGAATTCCTCGGTTTTATCGTCAAGTTGGCCAAGGAAGCCGAACGAGCTGGGTTATACGGACCAAAGACTGGGACTTCCTCGTCGATTATTGCGTTTTCGGCATGTCTTGGAAAAAACCTGCCCACTCGCATCCGGACCAATACGCGGTTGTGTGGACAGAAGCTGCGGTGTGCGCGGGATCATGTCCACCAAGTTCTTCGCGGACGAGATCCAGAGCTGAAGATCAACATGACGAAGAATGTCAGCCCTACCCTCGCAGGCTCTGTGTGCTTCTGGCTCAAGCGATCGCACAGGACTGCGGCTACCTGCCTGGATTCCGCAAGCTGGACATCGCCCGTTGTGCCAAGTGTGTGGGACTGCGGATTGGCGAAGCTCAACATCTAGGTCCGAAGTTGCGGGCAGCCAGGTGCCGTCCTCGCCGAGGTCCCGCTGGTACGATTGCGCTGCAGCTTGCTGCGTGGACTGCGTTCGCACGGCGAGTCGATGAAGGGTCCGGGGACGAGACCTGCGCTGCCGCATCTGCGGTGCCCGAGCTGTTGGTCGAGCTTTTGTGCGAGTACGGACAAGTGCTGTATAGTGCAGGGAAGCCCCTGCAACATTACAGACAGCTTTTGGCTACAGCGGCAAGGAGATACCCCTTAGTTCGACCTCACATCCGGCCAGCATGGGAAATGCTTACAAGATGGGCAAGGCTGGAACCAACGCAACATCGTCCTCCGATGCCCGAGCCTGTACTTTTGGCTTTGTGCAGTGTCGGGATCGCTACAGGGGTTGGCTCCGGTGGGCCCTCATTACTTTTCTGGGATTCTTCGGTTGCTGCAGGATTGGTGAAGTCCTCGGTGCCCTAAGGTGCTTTCTTTGCACGCCTAAAGATCTGATGCGGACGCACTTCAGGTTTTCTCTGCAGATTCGGGAACCAAAGACGAAGGGACGAGGGCCGAGAGTTCAACACCACTGTCATTCTGGAGGATGCCTCGCCACGGCAAGCTGTACTTCGGAACACCCGCCGTATACCGGAAGAGGTGGGGCAGTATTTTGGAAACCTTGGGGATTCTTCAAACGTTCTGCTTAACGCCCGGCTCACTTCGAGGAGGCGGCGCGGCTTACCAGGCTGGCAGTAGTATTCCGGACCTGCAGTGGAAGATGCGTTTGCAACATCAAACAACTCTGAGCTTTTGGTCCATCTTACCCGCGCTTCCCAGGCACCCCCGAAAGGCCATTGAGTCGGCGCTAGCCGTTTTGCCATTTTTATTGCTTCAGCCCAGTGCTCAAGCTGCATAGCCCACTGGGCTTTTCGACAGCTGATGGCCGTGCTATATCGGTGGAGCTAGGCGGTGCTGTGATACAGCGTGCCTGGAAGAATCCACGATTAGCCGTTGCGAAGCAAAATGCAGGAAGCACCGAAGGGTTTTGCATGAGCAAACATGTTGAACCCGATGTGCAGCTTTTCGGCCACACTCCCGGGGAGCTAGGCGGTGCTGTGATACAGCGCGCCTGCAAAAATCCACGATTAGCCGCTAGCTGATGCGAAGCAAAAGGCCGGAAGCACCGAAGGGTTTGACGTGACCCTGTCAGGGCTCATCCTGAGCAGGATTTAGGGTTTCGGTGGTTCGGGGTTTAGGGGGCCGGTTTAGGCACTAAGACAAATGAGAATATGTGCAACGAGATCAATCTTCCATGAATCACTTTGAACCTTTGAAATTACAGCACATGCGCATGCTCTTACGACTATGTGTCCCAATGCCTTGATATCTTTATATCAGTCTTCTCTACTTGAGGCTTGCCTGTGGGGGCCCGGTTATCGGTCTTCGATTTTGCTAGCATATGCCAGCATAAGTGCTTCCTGCCTGTGCCTTGCTGGTTTCCGTTGGCAGCTCCCGTGCAAGTAGAATTTCTGTTACTCCGGTCTACCATGGTGTCGGTTCCCGTTACAATACGCGGGAACGGTTTCCGTTACTCCCAAAAGCGGTTCCCGTTACTCCCCGCACCAGCTGAATTGCCCCGCAACGGACATTCCACATACTCCAAGTCGCAGCAGGCAGCTGTAAAGCAGCGCTCTTTCAGAACGTTCCGATTACATGTGAGCATTCGTTGATTGCAGCCAATATTTGAGACCAGCATGTTACCTTCCCGTCCGGTATTCTACCGCACTGCCAGCTTCAGCTCCAGCTGCTTTCACAATATTTGCGACCGAAAGTGCCGACGTGTTGCTGTTCAGCACAAGTGCCGCAGAAAAAAGGTGGCTGCCTCTGCTTGAAGCAAATCCTGTGGGACGTCAGTGGTTTGCAGATTTCTGGAAGCCCAAGCCACAAAGGGCCAGAGCCCTGCAGTTCGCGCCAAACCTGCAACGCCATGGAGCCTGTCATGGATCCAGACACCGTCGTGAACGGCAGGTTGCCTGCTTCTCAGCAAGATTTCTTCAAGTTCCACACCAGTCCGCCCGCCGATTTTCAGGTCAGAATCGGATTGCACGCGCTTCCCGATTGATCTGTCGAAGTATCAAGAGGCTCAACGAGTTGCCGAATCCGTCTAGTTGTCGCTTCAGTCAAGCGGGTCTCAAGTGGGCTCGCAGGCCTCGGCCTCACGGGCTTATTGGGATAGGCTTCAACTTTGCAACTGCATGCCTGAAAGGTGGAGTTGGACCCTTGGGCACGATCTATACTGACTGAACAACAGCGAGACATTCTCAGATCCAACATTGCTCTGTGCCGAGGCCTGCGAGTAAACTGTACAGCCATCTCATCTTCGATGTGGCGTGTGCTGAGATTGTTTGGCATCGATAGGAATGATAGGCGTATGGCGGGCTAGGCTAGGCAAAAGCAAGGTAGCTCAGGTAAGCGAGCTGTCGTGCTGCAACAGCGTTACCATGCACAGACGCTGTGGTCTTCTTTACGGCCCTCGGCGGCGTGTCGGGATACGGAGGACATACCGGTGGAGCTTTCGACATGATTCCCGAGGCGGCATCGTTCACATTGTAGGCATGTTCTTGCGTAGTTGACTGCAAGAGCAGCAATTTCCTTGTCGTCATTGGTGTCTGAGTTTTGCTCCGGATATTTTGAACCAAGTGACCTGTCACTTGTATCGTTGAAGGCTTTGGTCGAAAAGTTGGGACCTGATACCGCACTCGATAGATCTTGACATGAGAGGCAGGGCCGACTTGCCAAGGCAACCGCATCTTGTAAGACCCCTAGCTTGTAAAGCTCCTGTAGGTTCAGCGCAAAGGCCTGGATTGTGGCTCGTAAGTAAGCTTGCCTGCTCAAGCCTCGCAACGGGTCGGTGCGCAATTGCACCGGCTGCCGCCAAGCAACACCCACATAGGGACCCAGTTGGTGCCACCCGGCCTGAAAGACGATGTGGCGGCATGTGTGCATGCCACTGGTCCCAGGGCACTTTCAAGCCGTCACCTGCAACGCACAAGCCAAAGGTAGCATATGGGGCTAATCGCGAAGCGCACCCAAACACAGGATCAGCGCACGGGAGGCACACGCGGACCAGCCAGCGGAGCAGACAGCCGTGCTACTCCATAGACAAGAATCAGTCATTGCAACATCCGCGTCATGGATTCCATTGTTTGAAATCCGCAGCATCAAGAGGGTAGACTCGCCCGGTCAGCAACTACAGCACGCGAATCAACAATAAAATCAGTCGAACTAGTCGCCAAACGAACCATCGTGGCCGAGGCAGACTGAGGAGTCCAGGTGTTCAGATAGAGACAGTCGATAGACAGCCTTCGATTGCGAATTAGAGGCCTCACGACTAGCTGACAGATCATCAGCTCTAAAGTGATGGGGTGGATATGTACTTCACCAAAGCCTCCCTTTTGTGTTTGCAGTTCAATCATCGTTGCTCATGACCGAGCAATTAAAAGATATGGCCGCGCAACAGCTTTTGTAAACCCGGCCCAAAGCCATTGACCGCGCAATCCCGCTGTATGAAATAAAGCTGCCTCTACTCTCTGCAGCAATCACTTTCATGATCTCGGAGAATGCATCAAGACTCATTGATATACGCGAGCAGCGCCTGCGAAGTGACCGCCACGCTTGGTATTCCAATAGCAGCCTGCTGCATTGCCGGTCCAGACATGTCGGCGAACATGACACCTTCATCGCAGCGTGTTCAGCAACGACACATGACTAACAGCAGGTGCACTACCACCAACATGCACGACACCAACAACTATTGCTGCCGACAACAACAATGGCTGTTTGCAGAGATCAAGATCATCGACAAGTCTCTCGACATCCTCGAATCATGTTCGGGGGACTTCCTGTTTCGTGGAGTGTGCAATCAGCAACTTCGTGCACATGCTGCAGCAGCGGGCTTTGTTGCAGCGCATCAAGGAAAGTCTTGAGCCGGACTTCGACCCCGGCATGCCAGTAAGCGATGTCCACTGTGCCACACGAGACGAGAGCGTACAATCTTACAACATTTGTGCCCTCGTGGGCGGTGCACAGCCCTTCAATTGTGTGATGATGTCGTTGATGGTGTCGTTCGTGTGACGACGACGACGACGAGGATGGTGAGGATGATGATGATGATGATGATGCCTGCACGTGCAACCCACGACGTTGATTATGATTCTGGCGATGATGCTGCTGTTGTTGTTGATGATGACGTTTCATATTGCAGGTGCTGGCGACAAGTGTGAATTTGGCGATGGTGATCGGCTTGTCGTCTGTATCCAGAAAATCAGGCATGTCAGGTACGTATTGTGGCACGCTGGACTTGTGATGTGTTTCGTGCTTTTGTCTGGAGGTGTGCATCCTCGACGCTTTCTTCAGGGCGCGTCCAGACAAATTTGTGGATGCCCTACGAAACAGTTGGGGCCGGTCCAGAATCGAGGCCGTGAGTTCGTCAGGTGCCCACATTCTTCGACGAGGCTGGCCATCGAGTGGCCGTTCAATACCTCTTTGCTGTGCTGCGGGGTCACATTCCAGCAGAAAGGCTCCGGGGCAGTTCTGCATCTTCAGGTCCGGGTGTGATTCTCCAAATTCTGCTGCTTTCAAGGCTCCTGCACTACCGGGTAGGGCATTCAGCCCTGCCGGGACACCCCGAGCTTGGCTTGACTCGTGGTGTGCAGTTCCATAGCTGAGATGCCAAGCGCCGTGAATGCCGAAGCCAGCACTTCACAAAAATACTTATATGTAAATACAACATCTGCCTTTTGAGGTTCAGCTCCGGGCGGCTTGGGCACCTGTGGGGGCACGTCAATGGAATCGCCCGAGCTGAGCCAGGTGCTTTCTGGAGAAACTCATCGTCTTACTGCATTCCTGTACAAACAAACTTGGATTGCTGCTTCGGCACCTGGCAGGTCGGGTTGTTTGCTGCTTCAGCTCTGATGGTTCTCAGATGGAAGGCAACACCGCAGAGGCCACACGTTGGGCAGGTAGCCAGTGAATGATGGGCGTTGCGCGGTGTTCACTCACTGCAGGCAGCACGAATGGCAGTTGCTCAAAACCTCAATGTGAAGCTTTTCGCTTCTTGTCTGAAGCAGTTCAGCTTAGATCGACATTTCCGCAGCTGGAAAGCTGGGATGGACATGTTCCGAAATCAAGCCTCATCGAGCTGCAGAGGTTGATGACAACGACACAACAATTGCGGGGCATCCGTCTTCCTATCTCAAAGGTTTCAATGTTGGTCCGGCACTCGAGACATGTGTGGAGGAGGCCGAGGTGGGCAGTTTTGGCTCAGGTCGCACACTTCGGGGACATGGACTTTCCTCTGAGGATGTGGAGGGCGAGGACCTCGATCTTGTCTACAAGGCCATGTGCAAGGCAGCTCCAAGACCAAGTTGGCCCTACTGCCATAATGGTAGCAGCATCTGCCGAGACGCGCCAGCCGCTGCGGACTCAGGTTTCGGAGGAAGGTCCCTTCGCGGTTATTCTGAAGCGGAGCATGTGCCCAGGACCGGGAGAAAACAGCCAAAATTGCCCGATCATGAAATCAGAAAGGCTCCTTATCTGATCAGGCATCCAGGGCCTCGAAGGATCCACGGATGGCCATGATGCGATGCCACTACTTCATGCGGCTGCTTGGCTCAGAGAAATACTATGATCCTTGTACTGAAATCCTCGTGTCCAGTAGGGCAATGCAGCAGAACCCATCCACAGAACTCGTTGCGGCTTTGCAAAATCCCCGCGAGCATATGCAGCTAGTTTGCGGAAGATATATGTGTATTCTGGCTGGCACGCGAAATTGGTCCTTGAGGCGGTTTCCTTTGTTGGCGAGGTTTTCGCCAACCATGCCTCCAAAAAAATGGCGGTGATCCTGAAAAGGTGCAGAGGGGGAGAAGGTCCCTTCCAAGAAGGCCGAGCCTCTGCGCAAAATACACCAACCCAGACTGGACCTGGGTTGCGCACTCATCGAAGCCGGCTCGACACTTTGTTTGCTTTGCGGTCGTTTTTTTTTTTTCGCCCAGCCCCATCGTTATACACACCGACGACCTTTGGAGGACTTGCCAGCCGCCTTCCGGACCAAGGTGTGAAACTATCGGTGCCCCACTGTTCGCAATCGGGCCTTCCAGACATCACTCAATACAGGGCTGAAGGCTTCCACTCATGGTAATCGCAGACAGCTGTCACCTTGAGCTTTGCAAATGCCCCGAACGAGCCGCTCAGATCACATATCCGAACGCCGAAATCTTCTTTGAGCTGTTAGCCCGGGATCTCAGAGCAGCAGTCATTGCGGCACGCCTCGGGACGTGCATAGATCTCGAACCTGATGCTGCAGGGCTCGACGCTGTTTGGGACGTGGGTGAACGACTTTGAAATCACATCCTCTGGGCACACCGAGCTTTGCTTGCCCCGGTTCACATCAACATCCTTGAGACTTCTATTTTCGGCCGCCTTCTCAAAGGGCTGGCGCTTCGGGGCGGTAACGAGCATCTGGGTGCCCTCTGCAGCCTTCGGGCTCTACACTGCCCGACGCGGCCATGCCAGCTGATGGTCCCTCTCGGGGCCCAGTGCCACTTCGGAACAGGTTCCCTGCCTTTGTCCTGGACTCCTGGACTTGCCGTTTCTTGCACTTCCAGGCTGTGCCCTCCCGGCTGTTCGATGCCCACACTTGGCATTCCAAATTCAGGTTTTTGGGGGGGGGTTCCCGGAGGGCCTCTCTGACGTTGACGGCATCAAGGCCACCATGTCAAACTACGGACGGGAGCTGTGGTCTGACATCGGCCACAGCTTTGCTTCTGCGGGCAAGCTCCCACCAGCGAAGCGGGCGTCAAGCCCAAGGGTCTGATGTCTGGCCGCCTTGTTCCGCTGCTTTGATTCCAGTACTGTATTGAAAGAAAACAGCACTTATCGTCTCGTCAAAGTTCCGCGGTAACACCAAATGCCTTCGTTTTGCATATTTTTGCATCCAACACCTCTCCTGTCCGTGTCAAGCCGCCCAGGGGAGGGCGAGCACGCCACCCAACCAAACACTTGCCTGTGATGGGGACTCTTTGGGCGTAGGAAGGGAGCTGCTGTGCCAGTGAGCACCTGTACACGTCGCCCACGAAGTGCAAAACAGGGAGCGGAGTTCTTGCGAGTTAAGAGCTTCGAGCGAACAACGTACTCTGAAATCAAACGGGTGGGTTTTCCACAGCGATCTCTGCCCCAGGAAACACTGCTTCCCTTTCGGGGCCGAGGTGCTGATGACGAGCCTGGTGAGATACGCGGCGACTCATTGTTGCTGTTCTCGATCCCATCCCGCTTGCCATTTCTTCGATTGTCCCCCTCGCCATTAACTGGCACTGGCCTCGGAACTGGTTGGGTCGTCCCATTGGGTCGAGTGGGGATAAGGGCAGCACAGCCGCCTGTCGGATGCTTCTTCCACGTACTGTCCACATTCTGAAGGGCTTGCAGCTGAAATCTGATCCGTTGAATTTTCTTTGCTACGGCTTTCCCGGGTGCCGTAGCCCGCTTGCGGCGTACTCTTCGGACTGCTCGCGGTCGTGGTCGAGTGGCACCGGACAATATGCAAGAGGATAGGGCGGAGACGCAAATGAACTTACGATAAGGAGAGTGCAAGTGACCCCGTTTGCAAAGCTTACACAGCCAACAAGAAGAGCAGCATAGATCTACCACCTTGAGCTACTCCTTCAGTCCGGTGTCTGGGTGGTGTTCTGGTTCGGCGGGTTTGGTCGGGTAGGCATCAGCAAACAATGCCAGACTGCGCATGCTGCGATATTGCCTGCGTCGCGTCGAGATTGGAGGGGACAGGTATAGCAAGGACTGGACGTGTGTTAGTACCAGACGCAACTGTCATCCGTCAACTCATTGAGCTCTTCTACCTTAGCACGGCGGCTTTTCGTGAGGCAGTGTGCCGGTTCTCAGGCTGGATCTTCTTGTGCTTGTTGTGATCTGCGCGTCGATCACCAGGGCCGGGGTCAGCATTACCGGTCGTGTCAGCACGTGAATGCATGCAAGTTCGCAGTTCGCGCAAGCCATAACGAATTCTCCCACTACTTGGAGCACCTGAGCCATGGTGCTAAGTGAGTGCACGTGCTGGGTGGGTGAGTGAGGTCAGTGGGTGAGCGAGCGACCCGTTTTGACCCTTGCAAACGCACAACATCCGGGAATTGCACGCGATTGCAACGAGGTCCAATACTTGGAATCTCGAGGCCATGCAGCAGCTGCTGATATGCTCACGAAAGTGTGCAAGACATGCGATCCTCACCAGTCCTTTGTCTCAACTTGTTGACCTGCGATCGTTCACGATGACAACAGGTCATCCAATGTTGCGCTAGCGTGAAAAGCTGGCCTTGACTGAGGAGGTTTTGGGGCTCCGGACAGTTTGGCGCACCAAGGCAAGTTTTTGGAGCTACCATGCTGCACACAGCCACTAACATGCCGCTACGGGTCGCTGCGTTTGCATGCATTGCACGCCACCCGTGCCATGATCGGATGAGGAGACGGTGGTGCGAGTGCTGGGCCGAATGGATGCTGATGAGAGACGTTCGACGGTGCTCGTGGTGGACAGCGACCTGGAGGGTTCCTGCGGGCTGAAGAAGGCTGGACCTCGGTAACCATTGTTAGGAAACAATCTTGCAGTTGCCCGAGGTGCGCGAGAATTTTCCAGAGGTGTACATCAAAGGTGGCATAATGGAACGTGGCAATTTCAGTGCTTGTGCTGGATTTGGCTTCGCACGACACCGGCAAGCCGTCTTCGGGACGTTTGCGGCCTTCCAGGAAATGATTCTCAGTGAGGTCGGGAACCGCAATGTCAGACTTCGGTGTGGTAGAAGGGTGCTGCGTCGCAGGTCACGATGGCTCGGCTAAACCACTGCAACGTTCTGTGTCACTTCAGCCACAGTGGTGTAGATGACATGTCAGAGATTTGCTTGCAGCAGTCTACCAGATGCATATTTGTGTGTGTGTGTTGCCAGTAATTGGTCCTGTTCTGTGTCCTGCCTAAAGCTGAGGACAACACTTGTCACTTCGGCTTGAATAATTTTTTCGCTGACAATGGGCTCCAGAGCGAGATCTGCCCTGACACGAACCTCTTCTTCCCTGCTGACATTCATCAAACGTCGAAACTGGTGGAAGCCATCTTTTGGAAAGAAGGATTGCGGTTCGTTTACACGACCCGATCCAAGGTGCAATCGCCCTTCATGACATGACCGGGTGTGTTTAGTTTGGACTTGACCTGTCGCACGTTTTGCAGGGTGTGATTTGTTTCTGTTGGCTAGATTACCAGCCGGTCCTCGAAAAATAAATTTGGGCAACTCTGCAATGGTTTGATCCCCAAGCGCTTCTAGGTTAGGCAGTTATTGTGCCCAAGGTGCCGGAAATATTGTGTGAGCATGGTCAACCGTTTTATGGAGAGGGCTACGCCATTAAGCTCGGCACGGATGACATCATCATCGGTGGGGATACCTGCGATGGCTACATTGTTTCATATGGTGATGGCTTGTACAGATCTTTCGATGCTGTTCAGCGGCTGCGACACCTGGGTATCAACATTGGTCTGGTGAACAAGTGGCACGTAAATGCTGTGGATGACCGAGTCATGAGCATCATTGGCCGCTCGCGATTCGTCCTCGTGGTGGAGCTTCTCGTCTGCAAGTTTCTGCCGTTTCATTCAGGACATCAGGTAACAAGAGAAATCAAGGTCGCAGAACATTCGAACCGGCCTTGGGCTTCGCTTGGGTACTGAGCTTTTGGAGCGCAACTTGGCGGATATCTGGCCAGCTTTGAGGATTCCTTCTCGCATATATGCACATTGAACTTCGACATATTGGTGAGTGGTTCTCTGCATGTCGCTCTTGTAGTATTGCGATTTGAGGAGCTCTGCCGTAGAGAAATGCGCAGGCAACCTCACTCCGCGCTTCGGACGCTGCGGCACGCATCGCGACGGCTGCTGTGGCACTTGGGAGCATGCCTATCACCAAGGCATCTATCAAAGCGATTTGCAACCCTCTGTGATTTGCAGCTGTGTCAGCATCATGGAGGTCAAAGTTTGATGGTAAACACAGCATTGACTGGCATTGACACAGCCGATAAGTGTTGCTGATGAATGAGAGTGTTTTGTGCAAGTTGCATTGGTCGAGCAGGCTATGATACCGCATCCATCACGGAGAAGGTTATCGAGATTGGGAAGTTTGACCCAGAGCTGGCAGGCTCAGGGAAGCGAGTTTGCAAAGTAAGAGCAGTGTCAATCTCAGTTAGTAGTTGGAAGCATCGGCCATTCGTCGCGTTCACATTCACTTGTAATATCAGTGTGCAGTATGTCTGTCAGCATCACCAGGCTTAGAGTATAGAAGAAGAAGCATCTGATGGCCATGTCAACATCCAATGTCGTACGCGTAGCTAATTCTTGAAACATGCCTCACAAAGCGTTGATGAGGTATCAGGCCAAGATTTATTGTAAACAAACACCCTACAACATGGAATGAGTGTGATTTTTGAATGGTTAACCGTATTAAATATTAATTCAGTATGTGATATTCCTCAGTTTGTTTGAATCTTATTAAGAAGAGAGGCCAACAGCGAGCAGAAACCCAAAGAAATTATCAAGTTGAAGCATTCACCTGCTCTTGTTGATGTTAGAGCCCCTCGATTGTTCCGCTGTGCTTGCTGAAGTGGGCGGATCATCGATTGAACGCTTGACAACTGCACACCAGGCTTCATAGGTTGAGAACTTGCCAGGCAAGGTCAAGATGCAGATCAACACGCCATTGTATGAGAGTCACAAACAGAGAGCTGTGGAGACTTTGCTGCAAATTGCCCAGAAACTAAGCGGACTAGAGAGGGACTCCCGGCTGGTTCCAAGGCACGGCCTTTGAGCAGCCACTGCGGGACACTGGTGCGCCCCGTGTGCGTCTTATTGCCCCAGCTGCTGCCTGCTTCTATATTACTGGTTGCTTTTCACCGACAGCTGAGGATTGCTGACCGTTTCGCTCTCTCAAGCAAGTACGACCGTTCCCAAGGATATTCAAGTTTTGAGCTTGAGGTCCGTGACTTCTTGCTTGAATCCATTGGGTGCTGGGGCCAATGAGCATCGACGTCAATAGCAAAGGCTGCATAATGCCAAAGGCTCTGTCACCATCGGCCCCGGCCAGATTACTTTACGTTCCATCGTCCAAAGCAGATTCGCAAAGTTCCGGTATCTGAGAGGACGAGCATTATGCAAGTTGCCCAAACGGCACATCAAGCGAGCCTTTCTCCGTGAGATTCAAGAAATGAGCGGAGATCTCCCATGATCACTTTGCTTGGTGAGACCGCAGCTTCTGACAAGATACATGCATGACAGGGCCGAGTCCAGACAGTTTTGGACGAGGCGCAACATGTCGTTGTATGTATGGAGTGAAGCTCTTGATGCTGCGACCGTTTGGCCCAGGGTGTGGCAACGTAAAGCCCCTTGAGCATGTGAAGTAAAGGCAAAAGTCGTTCTGAAGCTAGGCAGGGCTCCGAAGCTCAAGCGCTTGAATAAACAGATAAAAGTTCGCAAGCCGATGCTGTGCGTTTGTGAAAACAGCAGAGTGTGAGGTTTGCTGATGGAAGCTGCCTGCCCGAGGTCGTGGCAGACAATTGCTCTGAGCGAAGCTGTCCAACAACTCCTTTCAGCTGCTTCCGGACTTCCTGAACAGCCCCTAGTGGAACCACCGCCACTGCCTGCTTCCGCAGTCCCACCATCGTAAAATGCGGTGCCCTCCCCTGCATGAAGCGCAGCTGCTCCTGTTGATCTTGGTTGAGCAGAGCCTGTGGCGCTGTCGGTCTCGGGTACACCGAAGTCGGAGTCTCCACCGATTATCCATTGACCGTCCAAGGCTGCCTTGCGACACTCTCATCTCATTACACAAGCGACCAGCCTCTGGACCTGCGGCCATTTGCTGCTTCTTTGCTCCAGCTCAGACAGCCGTATGGGAGTCCGGGTCGGTCGCTGTGGGAGTGCGCCTGTTTACACTTGTTCGCATGACCCGAAAATCAAAGCAGAAAGACTGCAAACAAGCGACAATAGCATCGACAAGACGTTTCTGAATAGTTTTACACAGCAACTACAGAGGCACGAAAGACAGAGAAGGAGGAGCAGGAGGAAGACGAGGGAAAGCTTCCGGTGGAGGGAGACGAACAGGAAGATGGGGAGGAAGAGGAAGAGGTTGAAGTAGATGAAGAAGAGGACGAAGAGTTGGAAGCCGACAAATCGAGAGAAGGTTCAATCAAAGACGAGGAAGGCTCCAAGGAGGTAGAGCGCAGTAACGATTCGACTAAAGCTGCGCAAAAGAAGGAGGAACCCAAAATCACAAAGGAGGAGGATAAGCATGCAGAAAGTTGTAGAGTTTCAGAGAAAGCTTTGGAAAAGGACGAGGCCCGTGAAGCCAAAGATGAGAATCCCAAGCCCAACACGACAAAGACCTCAGCAGGTTCAGGGAAAGGCTCGGCAAAGGAGGAAGGCCCCAAATCCAAAGATGAGGATTCCGAACCCAAAAGCACAAAGGCCTCGGCAGGTCAGTGAAAGATTCGGCAAAAAGGCAAAAAGGATGTTACGAAGGAGCCGAAACGAAGCGTAGTTGATACTGGCGCTGATTCTCAACTTCCGCCATCTGAATCTTTCCTCGAGGAATCCCTGGAGTCCGTCAAGAAGTCAGGCGAGATCGAAGCCAAGGGCGGTGCAATGGACGAAGAAACCAGATTCAATCGCAGAGACTTGACTTTGAAAGATAGTATTTCTTGCGTGCAGAGCTATCACATCGAATCCGCATGGCTTTCTAATGAATTCTGATTTGCAGGATCGAAGGCCTCTTTGTGGTTCCCGGGAGCTTTGAAGAGCAGGCTGCAGCTTTCTTGGCATGCTTGAACATGGAAGCGGAAAAGAACGGCCCGACCGGCCCGATGCTGCGAATATCATCAACGCCGGCCGTCTTGGAGCTTATTCTTTGATTTTTCTATCATATGGATGTCGGTTGACCAGGCTCAGCAAGCAACGAGAGCGATGCTTCGAAGAATGAACAACAACCATGAGCCAAAGGAGGAGGAGGACGGGAGGGGCGAGGAAGGCTCAAACGGCTCAAAGCCAAAGCAAAAGCAAAATCGAAAGCAAAGGCCAAAGGGAAAGCCAAAGCAAAATCGAAGGGGAGCCGCCCCCAAAGAAGCTAACGAGGAGCCCTCCAAAGAAAAACCCGGCCCGCGCGAGCAGCCCAGATGCAGCCCGAGCAAAGCGAAAGGGACCCAAGGAGGAGAAGGCACGCAGCTCTAAGCCGTCATCGAAGCGGGAGGCCAGCCCGCCCAATCTTGAGTCGCTTTATCACTCCAGGGGTATGGTTGGAATTCGATTGTTACTCCGGATTTAAATCAATTGTAATCCGAAAGGGTTGGCTGTCGAAGACGGGCTTTTGGGCACGGATTCAAATCGATTTCCAGCCGCTCTGGTTTCAGTTCCTCGGTACTTGCAAATCGATTGAAAGCGGATTAAGATCGAGTTTAATCCGCTTTTGGCGTCAGGCAATGCCGGGAGCCATCCTCCACCCCCCTTGAATGTGGCATGTCCATGGGCCTTTGGATTAAAATCGATTTTAATCCAACCCTGTCGTTTAAATCGTTTTCATTGTTATTAAGGTGAAGGTTACGGGGCCCTTGGGAGGTTGAAGGGTTCCATGAAGCAAGCCCTTAACCTTAAAACCCTGCTCCACGCACATGGTTCTCGGCTTGGCACCGGTTCTGAGGCAGAGATCAGGGTTTAGGGGTTAAGGGTTTACAGTTTGACCCACTCGAAACCCGTCGGGATCCTTCGGGCATCACCGGTTCCTAGGCATGGTAATTTGCCACCTTGACTCTTCTTTTGGGGTGTCAGGCTGTTGCCTTGAGCCTTGAACTGTCAGGATTTTGAACAGCCAAGAAATTGGGACAGAAGTTTGCGTGGTTTCACAAATTTGGAGCATTATCCGGCTCGCTTAGGCCATCTCGAGCTATCAAGCAGTCCAGATATGCTTCGCAGTGAGACGCCGTCTGTCTGTGTGTCAACATCGAACCGACAACATGGCAAAACACTGCATGTCTGCTTTTGTCACTCGCTTTCGATGTTTCCACCTCCATGGTCCGTGGGTTTCGAAAATTTGTGAGTGATTTTTTAGATTGTCGTTTTACGTTGATTAAAGAGTTGCCAACGAATGCATATTGCATGTATTGCATAGTATTGAACGGTATTACGGTATTTCAAATTCCAAACAGGCCGGTTGCAAACCATTGCGGCACTGATAAGATTTGATGGGACCGCAGTGATATTCAAGCCGTTGTGTAACACGGAAAGCGAACCAATTTGCATCTCATTATTTGTCGGGACCGGGAATTGGTGCAGCTTTGATTGTCAGGCTTTAAATCGAATGAAAACCCATGAAAAGTTGGTGCAAAGAACGAAATTGTAATTGCGAAACGTGACATATCATTGGGTTCATTGAATGCAGACGACAGACATATGTACTGTTCATCTAGTCGATCCATGTTGTCGGAAGAATTACAATGAGTTCAGTGATAACGGATAACTTCATGACTTGATCTCCTCATAAGCGTTGTGCACAGCTTGTAAGAGCTTCACCTTGCATCGCATATGTAAGCATTGCACCTGCGGATCCGGAGCCCTCATTTCGGCTGAAAAGAGTTTTGCATGGTAGAGGAGCTCCGGCTCCAGGTCCCGTGGGCTACCATAGCATCCCGAGCCTTAAGGCCCATTTGGTTTCACCGGATCATAGCGTTTTCTGCAGCCACCTCTGTGTGCGCTGCCTTCGGAGCTGCTGCCGTTCACTCGGCCAACTCACAATCTTTTCTTGGAGTAAGTCCCTTCTGGAAAAGGGCGTCCCCGGAGCACCGTCGTGTGCAGTCTTTTGGTGTATTTTTCAGTGCGTGTGATTCTGGCTTTTGCTGGGAGGAGAGGCCGGCTGAGAGCTGGCTGGCTGGAAGGAAGTTCTTTACTGCCTTCCTGGGAATGGATACAACACCCCCGCAGCAGCAGGCAACGAATGGGCCAGCTACCGGGCCACAGCCTATGGGGCCTGAGATCCAGGAGCAAGTGGACCAGCTGGTGAGAAGGAGGCTGGAGCAGGCGTTTGGATCAGTTGTTAGGAAAGTGCTGACGGCAACAGAGAGGGCCACAAACGCGGCCGAGTCCCAGGCCCAAGCCAACCGCCTTGATGGCTTGACAAAGGGCCTCAAGCTTGATGTTTGGAAGCCTGGAAGCCGTGAAGAGGAGCTGAGAGGATGGAAGGATTGGTTCTTCCAACTGCGCACGTGGCTCAGCAGCCACGACCCGAAGTACGAAGAGGACATAAAGGCAATCAAGGTGGATGAACCGCAGGACCATGCCCTCATGGACAGCGAGGCCACCAACAGAAGCCAAAAGCTATTTGGAGTCCTTTGTTCTTATGTTCGTGGGCGGCCCTTGCTGCTTGTGAAGAGCCAGGACGACACCAAGAACGGGATGGAGGCCGTGCGCATCCTACAGAAGGAGATGGAACCCAAAGAGCGGTCGAGGGCCCTTGCCATAGTGCGAAACCTGGCTGCCTGGACCTTCAGGGAAGGCAACCTCCACGAGCAGCTGGTCGCCTACGAGGAGGCAGTCACGGCATACGAGCGGGCGAGCGACAAAAAGTACCCGCAGGACCTCATGATTGCGACCCTGGTGACCGGGCTGAAGGAACCTCTCCGCAGCCAGGTGCAGTTGCGGATGAACGACAAGACCGAGTACAAGGACCTGCAGGAATGGGTTTTGTCCTATGAGTCAGTGAATGCCCCTTGGAGCGTCTCGCTCCCAGCCGGCGCGGGAAAGGGGCAGCAAGGACTTGGAGGTGGAAGCGAGGCCGTGCCCATGGAGGTCGACCAGATCAAGGGCAAGAAGGGCAAGAAGGGCAAAGACAGCAAAGGAGCAAAAGGGAAGGACGCAAAAGGAGGAAAGAAGGGAAAAGGTGGAGGAAAAGGCGGCAAGCATGGAGACAAAGGGCAGTGGCGCCAAGATGGAAAGGGCAAGGCCAGCCAGGGCTGGCAGCAACAGCAGCCAAGCTCGAGCTGGCAGAGCGGAGGAAAAAGCCAGATGCCTGGAATCTGCCACAACTGCGGCGGAAAAGGGCACTGGAAGAACGAATGCCCTTACCCCAAGAAGGGATCAGGGAAGGGAGCCAGGTGAGCCAGAACCAGGTGCCGTCTTCTGGACAAAGTGTTGCCTCGACCGCCGCGTCGGCCTACCGCACCCTTTCCACAGTTCAGGTTGTGCAGGCGATCCAGGAGGCTGGAATGTGCCTGAACGCCGCCAGGCTGCCGAAGTCCTGCAAATCTGGGCCGACAGCACCACAACTGAGATTGTGGTGGACAGCGGGGCCGACGTCTCTGTAGCCCCCTTGGCCTACCACCGCGCAGGGCGAGAAGCCCCAGCCACGAGGATCGTCATGCAAGATGCCCAAGGACGGCGAATTGAGGAGCGTGGGGTGAGAATCCTCAACCTCACGGTTCGGACCCTCGAGAATGAGACCATCACCCTGAAGGAGCGCTTTGCGATCGCCGCGGTGAACTTGGTGATCCTCTCCTTGGGGAAGCTTGTGCGAGCCGGGTGGACCTTCCCACAATGCCACCGGCCCAGCGATAGCAAAAGATGGCTGCACCATTCCCGTCGGGCTGCGGCGAAATACCTTGGTCATTGCGGCAACCATTGCTGTGGTGGCAACACTTGACAGTGGAGCCCTTCCCCCAGAAGGAGAAGAAGCAGTTGAGAGCCCGGGGTGGCACATCCTCCCCTCAGGGCTGCCTTTCTTTGTCGGCCACAGGGCGCAGGAGATCAGCCTGGAAACCTCGGTGTGGAGCACAGAGGACTGGGGTTGGCTGGCAATTTTTGTGCGAAAAGAAGAAGCAAGAAGGAAGCCAGCCCATGGAGATGTTTGGGTCCAGGTGTGGACAGGCAGCTCGGAGAACTTCCCGGAGAACGGAAGGAGAGGAGGAGCTGGGTGGCCCGAGGGACTTTGCAGTTCTTTTCCATGTCGACGAAATTCCCGACAATGTGCTGAGCCAGCCCGGCGACCTCTTTCGAGAAGCGCCGGGGAGGACGTGGCTATGGCTATGGCCCACCCAGGGCAAGAAGGAGACGAGGATGACGGCGGTGGTGTTGGTGACGTGCTGGAAGGAAGGCCTGTCAGAGGCCAAGAAGTGGAGCCCGAACCCGAGGACCTCACTCTCGACAATGTGGCGCTTGACATGCAGACGCCACTTGCTGACCTCAGGGAGCTGTGCAAGAAGTTGAGCCTCCCCAGCAGCGGCCCGAAGCCAAAAGTTCTTTCAAGGTTGAAGAAGCACCGGGAGTTAGTTGAGAAGCAGCTTGCCACGGATGTGGCCCACAGTCTCTTCAAGGAGCAAGAGAGGCAGCCAAGCATGATGAAGGTGCCGGTCCTGCCAACACCCCAGCAGCAGGAAGCGCACTTCATCACGCACCAGCCCTTTGCTTCGTGGTGCCCGGCATGTGTTCTGGCAAGATCGCGGCAGTCTCCCCACAGCCAGCAGAGGGAGGCTAAGGCCGAGAAGGAGGGTGACAAGAAGCTGACAACCATGCAGATAGACTACGCCTACACCTTCACCGGCGACCGGGGAATAGCCAACGAAGAGGACACCGAGAAGGACGCCGAGAAAGACGCCAAGAAGGACACCGAGAAGGACGCCGAGAAGGACGCCGAGAAGGAGGACAAAGCCAACCAGTTTGCCCTCAACCTTGTTGCCGGTGAGGTGGTTACAGGATGGCTGGTGGGAATGCCCGTTCTAGCTAAAGGCGCCGCGTCCTTGAAGAAGGTCACCAAGAACTTGGTCCGAGTTTCAATGCTGTTTGGTGGCGCCGAGGACTCCGTGGTTCAGGGCGACACGGAGCCGGCCATAGGGCAAATTCTCAATGCGGTGCAGGCCTGCCGTGCCAAGCTTGGCCTCCGAACAGTTGTGAGACAGGTGCCTCGGGACAGCCAGTCAAATGGCGTGGCAGAGAAGGCGGTGAGCACCCTGAGGCGCCTAGCCCTTACACTCAAGGCCCACCTGGAGGAGCGCACCAAGATCAAGATAAGCGGGGTGAACCCTGGCTTTTCAAGCACGCCGCGTTCCTCCACAGCCGGTTCTTTACTGGAACAAAGGGCACTCCGCCCTATGAGGTCTTGTATGGAAAGCGGTTTCGAGGACGCCTTGTCCCCTTTGGGGAGCAGCGCATCGGGTATGTCAAGCCGAAGTTCAAGGGCGACCTCCAATGGAGGAAAGCAATCTTTGTGGGAGTCAATGAAAGAACTGGTGCCTATATGTCTTGCTCACCGACGAGGGCGGCTTTGAGACGAGATCTATCAGGAGGCTGCCTCTGGAGGAAGAGACAGGCCGTTGTGTGTGCAAAGGGGCTGCCCTGGGACCTTGGCGGGCAAGTGAAGAGAAAGCGTGCACTCTATACCTCCAGGCCGGCCCTGCTGCCGGACACAGCCACTTTGGAAGAACTGGCCCGAGCTGCCGGCCAGGCAGCTGCTGCCTCAATCGCAGCAGGAACGCCACGGCCCCCAGTCAGCGAGGCGGGGACTGACCCACCGAGCACGCCTTCCTCAAGCTCCTCGTCCTCTACCACAAGTACAGAAGGCCAGCCGCAACAGCCACCACAGGAGAGCACAGCAAGCACAATTCCAGTAAAACCAGATTACACACAACTCTCCTCATTCTATACACAGTTGGAGCTCTCCCTTTTGGACAAAACCGACAACGCTTTTATCTTCCCACAGTCCCCCGCTACACAAATCATTGCCTACACAGACGGCTCCTGTCCCAATAACCGCACAGTCTCCTTTGATAACCCGGCAGGTTGGGGTTTTGCCCTCACCTCGGGATTGGATTTATCCGCGCATCCCCCCGGTGGACTCCACTTGGCTACAGTCTTGGGGCAAGGTTTGCGCCGCCCCCACTCAATATCTACCGGAGCTACCGGGCTCCAACAACAGAGGAGAGCTTAAAGCTCTTATCGAACTCTTTGACTTTCTGTTATACCACTCTACTTTCCAGTTAGGAGACCGACTTACCATATACACGGACTCACAGTATGCTCTTTCTTTCCTCCCTGGCTCCTCTGTCCCTACCACGCATCATCAGTTAGTGATTCTGGCTCAACAGTATTACACGGCACTCCGATGTCGCTTCAGGGTGCATCTCCTGAAGGTACCTTCTCATGAAGGTATACCGGGAAATGAGTTAGCCGACACCTTGGCCAAACGTGGAGTTCCTCCTTTGGCTCACTTGGCAGGTTTGCCACTACTCCCTCCAAATCTCTCCAGCCTCCCGAAATAGGCTTTAATCAGCAAGGCTGGGACTCCTTAGCGGTGATAGAGCAGGATGACTTCCTCAGCTCTAAGATCAAAGAATATAGCACTCTCATTCCTGTTCTGCCGCTCTCCGCTAAGAAGCCCTGGATTTCCTCACATACCTTACACCTCATCCAGGTCTTTCAGAATACTAAATTCACCGATACTTCTGCTCTTAAGGCGGCCAGAACAGCCATTAAGAAATCCGCCCGCCGTGATAAAAAGCTCTTCATTGCTCAGAACCTCCAGGATGACTTCTATGGCAGCTCCATTCAACAATGGACCCATGCTCGCCAAATTAGGTCGGAATTTCGCCCGCGTGCGGCGGGCTTATATAACCTCCAAGGAAAGCTTGTCTCCTCTTCTCAACGTGCCACGACTTTTGCTGATTATCTCTCCAAACAGGTGTGGCACACGACAGGAGATCCCCCTATTCTCCAACACAATCCCCATCCACCGGTCCCAGAAATAGATTCTCCTTTTACAATGCATGACCTAGACGCTGCCTTAAAACGGCTCAAAAATCATAAAGCCTCCGGTCCCAACGATATTCCTGGAGAGATTTACAAGCACGCCCCCTACATATTGAAACTCTACCTTCTCTCTCATTATAACCAATGTTACCAGGAAGCGAAGGTACCCCCTTCATGGCTCTTTTCTGAGGTAGTCATGATTTTAAAGAATACGCAGAAAGACGCCCGGCTCCTTTCTAATTACCGTCCCATCTCTTTCACCAATATATCTTATAAAATCTTCGCCTCTATGCTACAACAGAAGTTGGAGAAGGGTCTAGACTCCAGAATCACGGACGGGCAATTTGGATTTCGTAAAAACCGCTCCACCACACAGCCTATCCAAATTATTCGCCGTCTCCTGGAAGTATACGAAAGGCAAAACTCACCATTTCATGCTTTATTCATAGACTGGAGCAAAGCATTCGACTCCGTCACTTTTACCGCTATCGAGGCGGCTATGGTACACGTGGGGGTCCCAGACCACACCCGTAAAGTAGTTATGGCTCTTTATGATAACCCCACTTCCTTGGTCAGAGACTCATCGCAAAAGTCTACCGTCCGCACACAGACTAAAGGCCTGCGTCAGGGATGTCCCCTGTCTCCTTATTTGTTTGGTTTTGAGTTAACTCATTTGTTTCATGACGTCGAAAATGATTATCAGGCCAGGTTTGGAGAAATGTCTGGGCCCCTCTTTGGGACCTAGAATATGCAGACGACACTGTTCTCCTTTCTTGTTCGGCGGAGCAACTTAATCGCCTTCTACACTCAGTCCAGCACCATGGCTTTAAGAGGGGCCTCCTCCTCAATGAAGATAAATGTGAGCACCTGCGTATACATTCGCCGAACCGCATTTATTACGCGCCGTCGGCGCAAGCCTCATGCCAGTGCAAATACTGCGGAGGCATCCACGCTCCTCTTACCCCGGTCCCTCTCTCAGATGAAGTCAAATATCTTGGGGTCTATCTGGACCCAGCTAATAATAACCGTAAGAATACTTCTTATAGAATTTCCCAGGCGATTGCAGCTTCGAAACTGCTTAGGCCGCTGCTCTCCCATACCGGCCTCCCACCGAGCTGGAAACTTACGGTCTATCGGAGCATCATTCTCTCTATTCTCACTTACGCTATGGACAGTGTTCTACTCACGTCACCACAAATTCGTAAGCTTGATTCCATACACCTTAAATCACTGCGGCGTATATTTAAAATCAAGTCCTCTTTTTACCATAGAGTTCTTGACCCATCGGATTCTCAATGCTCTAATCAGCACCTCGCATCTCTTTCCTACAGATCCCGTTGGGTCATTACTTCCTCTCAGCTGTACTCGCAACAATGCCCACAGCTATTCGGACACATACATAGGCACCCAGAATCTCTAGAAAGTCAATGTACCTACATGACATCACATGCGTACAGACACATCAGGGCTCCTAATAGATCAGGTCGGCCCCGCATACTGCGGAGCGCATTGATCATTTACTCTCGGACGCTGCCCCTTCTCATGAACAAATACAACATAGCTTCTATCAGTTGCCGAATCCAACTAGCATCGCTGCGGCACACGCTCCTCAGGACTAATATGGATGGACAATACGTCCCTCTATCGCAAAGTGTGCCAAGACCGTCAATTTTGGGCGAAAGTTGTACACAAACCTCCCAAGGGCCGTGCTTAATTTAAGCCACCAGTAACTGAATTAGGATAGCTTGGTGCTGATGGGCTAGTAGACGAAAGCCTTTCGCGTTCGAAAAAGTTGTCGTTTGGTCTGGTTGGTCTTTTGTGGTCCGTCCTGTCCGACTTGCATCCTGTCAGGTGTAGCCGACCGTCTGCTCGAGCCATGGCTTCGTCTTCTTCGAGTGAAAGATCACGTTCTCCTGGCCGTCCGGGTCCGCCCGATTGTCATCCATCAGGACTGCTTGCATCACGGGCTTTGAGGAATTCCTTCTCATCGCTGAGCTCCATGATCCGTTGCATCTCTCTGGTCATCTCCGCATTCTTCCGGAAGGTTTTGGCGTCCTGGTCAAAGGGCTTCTTGTGGGGATTGTTGTTGCTGACGGACGGCCGCCTTGTAGTCCTGGAGTTGCTTCGGCTCAGAATTTGCAAACACGATCGGGATGGACGGACTTCTCGCTTTGGCAGGAGACCTGGCATCCTGCTCAAGCGGTTTGTCTTTTTTCGGGGTGCAGTCTCCTGGTCCGTTGCTGTGGTTGTCTGTCTTCGCGGGGAGCTGCAGCAAGCCCCAGCTTTAGGGACTGGCTGTCCCGCGAACACATGCACAAGCGAGGCCGGAACGGGTGACCGGCCGGGTGCAAAACAGCACGCACCAGAACAACTGGAGCAGACAAGTATGCATGCAGAACGCCACGGGGAACAGGAGGGGCCGCAAGTGGGTAAAAGGGCGGAGCACCTCGGCAAAGCCCCGAGGACGGCAAGCCGAACTAGGCCGGCCGTCAGGCCAACGACGATGAGAGGCCGGGGCCGGTGGAGGTGGGGAAGGCGACGCAGGAGCCGGGGCAAGGCCAAGCAAGGCAAACCCAAGTTGGGGCCGTGATCGAAACCAAGACCCGAGGACGGGCAGCCACCGGAAGAGGGTGTGCACGAAGCCATCCCACCAGGTGAGGAGGCAAAAGACGCCGCAGCACTTGACAGGCGACCTGCGAGTGGCGGGCGGGAGTTCACCTGATTATCGGACGGACCTGCAGAAGGAGCCGCAAGAACGGCACGCAAACGCACCGCAGCATCAGAAGGACCCGCCTCGAAAGGCTCAGCAAACGGCGATGGCAAAGAAGAGCGGCCAAAGTCCTGACACCATGCACTAGAAGAGCAGAAAAGAAGTACACTCAGCAACGTGCAGGACGGATCTTTTTTCTGGAAGATCGCGTGCTGCTTGCACTCTCCATAGAGCACCGGACGGAAACACATACCCCATAGACCGGGTTAGGCCGAAAGTTATCTTGACCAGAAGACCGGAGGATCTCCTGGATCACAGGAATTCAAGATATTTATCTTATCCTGTGATTTTGGATATGATATCCAAAATCCCAGCGTCAAGTTCTCCAAAATCACAGCGCAAAATTTTGGATCCCAGATCCAAAATCACAGTTGAATTCCTGCGATTTTGGATCTAGGTCTGGCCCGGCAGGGGTCGAAACTTCGACCCCCAGGGGTCGAAACTTCGACCCTTCGGGGGTCGAAACTTCGACCCCTCTCTGGTGTATAGCAAGATATATATGTATATATATTTGTCTTTCTTTCTGTCGGTCTTTCTGCCTCTCTGTCTCTTTGTTTTTTGGTCTCTGTCTGTCTGTCTGTCTGTCTGTCTGTCTGTCTGTCTGTCTGTCTCTCTCTCTCTCTCTCTCTATATATATATATTATATTCGCGAAGCTTTTGATTTTCCAGCATGTGGTGAATTTTGTTGGGGGATAGCGAAGTTTTGTTTTCCGAGACGACCGACCCGGTTTTTGGGTCCTGAGATGCCTTTGCTATACATGCTGGCTCTATATTTGGCACACACCAGCATATACCTTGAGAGTTGGGTGTGAACGAAACCAACAATTGACACCGTGTGTGTGTGTGTGTGTGTCTGTGTGTGTGTGTGCGGGTCTATGATGCGGGACAAAAGCATGTGGTATGGAACCAGGTGTGGTCGCATGCAGAATATATAAGTCTATGAGTGAGATTTTCGGCACTAGGAATATATGTAGGTTTTAAAAAGTAATGCAGCTTGAACACTTTTTAGAGAGTATAGAGCAGGTTGAGAACATATGTAAACAGCTTCAGCAAACACAACGGGCCCCGACAGTTATATATTTCATAGAGTAGAGAGAAACCTTATATAAGAGAGCCATATGCAATATACTGACCATGAGGGTGTTTAGTGTTGAACAGAGGGTATTTATACCCTCGAGCATTGCATGTTTAGGAGCAGTTGGAGGGAATATGTAGATGACCTTGAGAGGTGTGTTATAATTTTGAGAGTATACCCCACCTTGAGAGTTTAGTGTTGTACAACAAGGGTATGTGAGACTTTTGCATGTTTAGGAGCAGTTGTGGAGGGAATATATGTAGATGTGACCTTGAGAGAGGTGTGTCAGACCTTGTGAGAGGATATATTACACCTTGAGAGTTTGCTGTTGACAAAGGGTATTTACCTTGAGAGATTGAATTTGCACGTGTCTGAGCAGTTGGAGGGAATATGTAGATGACCTTGAGAGAGGTGTGAGACTTTGACAGCACATATATCTTACACCTTGAGAGTTTAGTGTGTTGTGCAGAGAGTTTTTACTTTGAAAGTTCAGTGTTGCACAGAGAGTGTTTACCTCGAGGGCTAGGAGCAGTTGTGTCTGCGGGGACACAATCTGTAAACGACCTTGAGAGGTCTGAATCCTGTGTTTCACATGTTGCCGGCAGGACTCGGGCTTTCTGTGCTTGGTAGTAAGTATAGCGACCCCGCTTCGGTTTCACAAGCTTTTTTGTACAGCTGCCCTGCTGCCGCAGCATGGCTCTCACCGGACAGACGGGACGGTTGGTCGCCGATCCCACGATCGGTGTGGAAGATATCACAGGTGTGCTCAGCAAGTGGCTGAAATCCCGAAAGACTACGGATTTCTTCAAGGCCTTGAACTTGCCTCGCGGGCTCACCTTCAAAAAGGCCCCGATAGGCTCCTGGATGGCGGGTGCTGCCGACCTCTACAAAGAGCTCATGCTCCTCGCTCCGAACGGTATGCTCAGCCCGAAGAAGGTCAGAACAGCCTTGGCCAAAATGAACGAGCAGGAGGAGAAAATTAATCACACTCGGAAATCGGACAACGACTTCATCGATTTGACTGATGAAGGCATCAGGATCGGGTGTGCCATGTTCAGGTGCCTCAAGGTGGAAGCCAAGACCAAGCAGCGGTGCTTTGCTATGATGACAGCGGCTGAGCAAACGGCTGTGCAGGATGTCCTCGACATCATGAATTGTGGTCCCGTCCTAGAGGACGGATCTCAGGAGTCTGTCAGCGAGCCTCCTCCGGGAATGCTTGCTTTGACAGATGGTGCCGCTGGTGCAAGGCCTGCAGATGCAAGGCCTGCAGATGCAAGGCCTGCAGATGCAAGGCCTGAAGATGCAAGGCCTGCGGTTGCAAGGCCCCTGGCCTTGGAAGACGACCCTAGACCAAAGCCCAGCCTCCGTCGGCTCGACCCCATGGCAGTCTTTGACAGAGTTCTGAGCAGAGTAAGTTCAGAAGAGGCAGAGAGCGAAGATCTTCCTGGACCTAGTAGCAGCAGTCGGGCCCCACCTGCTGCTACAACAAGCACAAGCAGCAGCAGCCCCATGGACGTGCACTTCAGCTATTTGTTGAGCCAAGCCGAATCTGTGGAGCCCTTGGACAACAAAGCCCAGTTGATCATATTCCGCAAAAACTGCCCTGAGAAGAAGGGGAAAGGGAAAGGGAAAGGCAAGCAGAACGGAGAGGCAAGAAGAGCGAGGCGAATCAGAAGACTGAGAATGCGATCCCTACTAAGTCCAGGTCTTCAGCGCCAAGCAAGGTCAAGAAGCCCATCGAGTCCCCGGACGGCGAAGCCCCCAAGATCTCCGAAGAGAAGGATACGATTCCCGCAATCAGGCACTCCAAGAAGAGCCCAGAGATCCTTAAGAGCAAGGAGAGCCCAAAGCCTAAGCAGTCGGACCCGAAAGCCAAGGCTACCCCGAAGTCGACCCCGAAATCGAAGGCGAGCCCAAAGTCGACACCGAAATCCAAGGCGACCGCGAAGGCCAAAGGTGAGAAGAAGACTAAGAAGGAGAAGCCCAAGTTGCACAACACTAAGGTGAAGCCTGAGCCTGAGTGTGCGGTGAAGGCCGAGGAGTTCCCCGAGGATGAGCATGATGGTGTAGAGAAGAAGAAGATGAAGATGGACAGAACAGCCATCCGGAAACGAGTGGTCTCCAAAGCCTACCACAACGAGAGAGATCGGCAAATGAAGGCGGGTGTTGAGAAGGAGGCGGCCTCCGAACTTGGTCGTGCTGCTGCCAAACGTGCAGGTGATCAGTTTGACTCGGAGAATCCCAAGGAGAAGAGGGCCAAATTGAAGCTCAAGGGCATGGAGGGAGAGGATGACTCTGAGTGTCCTGCTGATGCTGCTAACCCCGAGGGTGCTGACAAGGAGCCTGAAGATTAGATTCCTCTGTGTGTGCACACAATCAGACATGTTGGTTGATAGGTGTTATAGTGCAGTGACTATAGTACGTTTGTGCTGATTGCTTTGATAGGAACCGTATGCAGTTGTGCACAAAGCCCGTGGAGCATGCTGCTGCATAGTTCTGTATGGGGTTTTGAACTTGAAAACACAATAGTTCTAAGAAAAAGAGCATAAGAAGAAGTCGTGTGTCGCTTTATTTCCTGAGCAGACTGTGTAGCTTGCACAGTCAGATTTTGAGCCCATGGAATGGTCACTTGTGTGGCTTTTATAGAAGCGAGAGTGCTTGTCTCTCCACGGAATCAGATGGGAGATGTGTGTGAGGCCTGTTTGCTTTAGAAGCGAGGGCTTTCGTCCCTCCACGGAATCAGATGTGACATGCAGGATGGGCGCTTTTTGCCATACATCTGCGAAGGATCAACGTGGACAGATTCGTGGAAGCTGTGTATGCTGCTTCGGTGGCGACCCCAAAATCAGAGTGCAGCTTTGTGATCAATGGCTGTTGCGAGCTGTGTGATGCTGTGAGCTTTGCTGTCATGCATGTTGTGTGAACCTTGAGTGGACCATGAGAGCATTCTGTCGAGCGGCGGTAGGTTGAGTGGACCATGAGAGCATTGTGTGTATCGAGTCGCAAAGCATCGGTAGGTTGAGAGATTCAGACTTCGAGGAATGCGAAATTCAAAGCAACACCACACAAGCATCACACACACACACACATCCTGCTCTAGAAAGGTGTGACTGTGCAACTTCGGCATCTTCGGCTGTGGTGGGCCACTCGAGGCCGGATTAAATCAGGGTCTTGGGTTTTGGGCCGGCTTGGGATTCCAGGATTTCGGGTTAAGCATGGGGGTGGCGATGATGATAGTGAGATGTCTAGAAGCATATGGTGGTGTTGGGGTTGATGCTTGATGCTAGACTAGCAAATCTCATAATTATACAAGCCCTTATATACTTATGTGTATGTATATATATATATATATATGAATGTATCTATACATATTATGTTTTATTTAAATATATATATATATATATATATATCATTTATCTATATGCATTTGCACTTCTGTTTCCTATATACAAGCTATATACTTGTATCAGATTCAATCCGTTCTGTGCAGTTTAAAACCCCAAAACCCTGGACCCCCTAACTCTAAACCCTATGAGCGCCTAGACCTTAAACCCCAAGTGCCAAGCCCCAAATCCCAATTTCCAGGATGTTCTGGAGCCTTTTATTACACGGTTGAGGGTTTGGGTTTGGACTTCGAGAGAGAGGGGGTTGTGGGTTTCTGTATAGATATATATATATATATATATATATATATATAGAAACGGTTTCGGGCTTAAGGGTTCGGGGTTGGGGTTTATACCCCTATATATATATATATATATATATATATATAGAAACGGTTTCGGGCTTAAGGGTTCGGGGTTGGGGTTTATACCAATCACAACAAACCCCCGACTCAGCTTTAAATCCCAAAGTGGCACCACAACAGTCGAAGTCACGATTATACCACCCCATGATGAACATCGTCATGTTACCCCTATTTCATACCGAAGGCCTCCAGGAAATAACAACCCCCGAATCATGCACCGAATGCAACCCCCTATTAAACCAATGTCCCCGATAGTCTCTTTTGG